CTTTTTTTATAAACCTGAATCCTTTGAATGTGATTCCTAACCCACATGAAATCATTGCTAACCTTTGTATGTAAAGACGACTGTGGTGAATTGCCGGATGGGTAATCTTAACCCATCCGTACTTAACCAATAACACCAGATCAGATAATTTCTGAGATATATTTAATAGGTAGTTAAAATGATCCGAAATCAAGTTTAAGTCTTCGTTCTCTAAAATAAATTACCTTATTTAGAGACGACACGTACGCAAAAATATACTTTAAAACCTTTTTCATACGATACAAAATCAAATAACCCATATCAGTGAACTACTACATACATACATCAAATTACTAAAGTACTGAACTGATAACAGTTGCCTATCGCGCGCAGGTCACCTAGGAATTAGGTCACCAGGGCGTCCATAGAACAAGGATTACTGGGCTTTCAACGTTCATACAATACTGTGACGGTTTCAATGCATAAATCGGTTCAGAGAGATGAAAATGATATGACCTTGAGTAACTATTGTAGTTTCTCTGGTTGCATTGCTATAGGTATTTTTCGATAAAGGAATAGCTAGGCGTGACACCGATAATATGCTAGTATATTCTATTGTCGTTGAGTGGAAATTCACATTTACATTCACTACAATGTATCATTTAGGCACCTATTACGTATTTTGCGCAATAATGACTTCACGACTCAAAAATGACATTATTAGATAAAGATATAATTAAGTAATGTCATTTTTGCGTAATTAAGACATTTGTTGATTAATTACTAACTGATAATTCCCGATTTCGTTGTAATTATTAATTGATGTAATTTTGTCGCGTCATTGTTTTTTTTTTGAAAAACAGAAGGACAATCCGCCTATACAATTGTCAGGTTATCTCGTAAAAAAATTAAATAATACTAAAAATGTCTCAAATAGCTTTGTGATTTCGTTTGCAAAATTCACAAAGTGTTTAAGCCTAGTGCATGCATTGCGTATGACGGCATCCGTCACCGGCCGTCGGATCCTGTGCGAGTGGCGTTTGATGTGTTAAAAATAATATACTTTCCAATACTGTACTGTAAAGTTTTGTTACTGGCAATTTATGATGACCAGTACTAGTATCTGAATGTTATGTACTGAGAAGTGATTTTGAGTAGTTTGATTAGAGTTTCGTTTTTGTACTGTGATTTTAGTAATTGGCATTTGTAGAGGGTTTAGTGATTGAGATAGCGAGTTAATATTGAGAACTTAATATTGATGTTAGGAAATGAAATTTTGGATATAAACGAAATTATGTTTTTAGTTAAAGTTAGCTAAAGGTGGCAATGCTGACTTTGTAGACAAACAAATACTAAACAATACAAATTGTGAAATTAGCAACTAAAGCAATCAAAATGCAAATAGAACATATGAAACATAGTTCGACCGGCGCTGGCCCAGGGAATACCGCAAATAATTTTTCAAACCTCCCGCCACCCAGTGACCTAATTCCGCACAGGTGACCTGCATGTATCAACCAATAGCATCCAAGTGCTTGTCAATTGGTTAACTATATTAACCAATGGTGAGTGCTAGGCGTGGCGTGGCAGCATGCCAGCCATCTCGTTGCATCTTTACGCCTACACTCCACGCTATAGGAAGAAAAGAAGGCCTACTTCTGTCGCCAGTACTGCGAGACTCACACATGTATAGCTACAGTGCTATTGGTCAAACGAAACGGTGTCAAACTCACACAAAGATATTTTCAGCTAGAGAGTGTTCGTTTGAAGTATGTGTGTATGTTTGGGTGTATATCTATAAGGCGTATGGTTTGAAACTTCTGTAGGTATAATATTTGTCCTGCACTTGTTGATATTGCGGAAAATTTTCACTTGCCGACGGCTGGGCGGTTACTTGCGAGTGGTTGGTATTATCTTACATTCTTATACTGCGAATGGCACAGTTTCTAACGCCTTATTAAATTGTTTATAGACTCTGTGCTTGCAAAGGAATGACTATTGGTAGCGGTTGGAATACGTGCTCCAACTATATGGGCCTATTTAAAAACAAGAGAAAATGTATTACCTATATATAGTACCTACTTTAAAGTCTGGAGGTATACGTTACACAATTATTTTTTTTATTTGATGGGACGACGTTTGACCACTGTCTCGCCTGGTGGTAAGCAATGATGTTGTTAAGATTTGACAAAAAGTCGGTAAGCACTACAAGAAAACTAAATCTAGATTAAGATGAAATAAAATCAGCTACAAGCAACCGTCTTTAACCGACTTCAAATAAAAGGAGGTTCTCAGTTTAACTTGTCTGTCTGTCTGTATGTTTGTGCGCGATTATCTCGCGATCGGCTGAACCGATTGTGATGCTGTTTTCAGAAAAGGCTTATTACACGTAGTAATGGTTTTATTGGAATATAATAATTACCCAATTAAAAAAAAGATCTTGAAGTTGATTTTTTAAACATAGTTTATTTATTTTTTATGGTATAAGCCGGTAAACGAGCATACGGATCACCTGATGGTAAGCAATCGGCGTCGCCCATGGACACCTCGAACACCACAGGCATGACCAAGTGCGTTACCGGCCTTTTGGCAGGAATTTTATGATTGTTCGGCGTTTAAGGAAAGGGGGGGGGGTAATTAGGCCTTTGGTAACCTCACACGACGAACTACAACGCAAGCGCTTATAAAAGAAATATACAGTTATTTAAGCACTCGTAAACCGTAGTTAAAAATACGACAAAAACATTAAGTTGCTTGTAGTCACCACATCAGCAGCACCCATATAAAAATTACTACGTAACAACGGGTAACTAATTTTACCCCAGAACATCCCATTTTTACTCCTCAGAGTCCATTCCTCCACATAACATCCCCTAAGCTATTACCATTATTAATTATTAAGCTCAGTTTCTCCTTAAAACATTTTCACTTGGCTCATAACGACACCTCTTTTGCCCCTTAAGACCCTATTATCGGATTCATATTTAATAAATACTGGGATTCCTTTGGTGCCTTCTTGTTTTTTTAGCGTTGAGATTGAGAGCGCTATAGTACCAAGCAAAACTGATTTGAGGTCTGATTATTCCGAGTTAAAATCAATGGCGTGTTGTTTGTAACTTCAAAAAGTTAAAATGTGAATAGACCGATATCTTATATATTTATTATATAAAAGAAAGTCGTGTTAGTTACACTATTTATAACTCAAGAACGCCTCAATCGATTTAGATGAAAATTGGCAGGGAGGTAGCTTAGAACCAGGAGACGGACATAGGATACTTTTTATAGAATACTTTTTTTTTACTATTTACCGAAAATCACGAACGGGAACGGGGGGGAAATGGGATTGCGCGTACGAAATCGCGGTCAGAAGCTAGTTTTACATAAATATAACATAACATCTCGCCTTTTTATCCCCGAAGAGGTAGCCAGAATTGCACATTATGGCACTTAATGCCTCTGTACAATGTTACACCCACTTTTCACTATTTATGTTATGAGTCCCATGTTGGGCTGAGCCTATTGCCATATACCGAGCACATTTCCAGACTCCGTGCTTTAGAAGAAGAAGGCACTTTCGAACGTCAAAACAAAATATTAAATAATAAGAAAAAAATGTCAGTCTGTAGGTCAGTCCTCTAGTGAAGCTATATAAACAATCATAAATAACAATAAAATCTATAACTTCTTATTAATCAACAATTAACAAAATCCCTCAAAACAAATAAATAAATAAATAAACAAAACTAAGTTAACAAGAACAAAAACTAATTCGAAACGGCGGCAGCCAGAGAGTCACATAGCAAACATAACAACATTTAATTTCCAAAGTAAGGGGAGCCTGATACCCTTCAAACTCGTGTTGAAGCTAAATTAAAACTCAAGTAATATCTATCAAGTTAAACGTTCTCAAGTTATATTGAACATTTATATGATATCACTTTACTCTGCCTGCTATGCGATACCTTATTTAATGGTGTTTAGATTTATTTTTGAATGCGATTTGTAATGATTATACGAGAATTTACTGCTTTTTTCGAACCAAGGTGTATGATTTATGTGTGTATGAAGGTGTATGATGAAACCAAGGTTATGATGACTGCCTCATTGGCCGAGTGGTCGCAAGTGCGACTGCCGGGCAAAAGGTCTCGGGTTCGATTCCCGATTCGGGCAAAGTATTACTGGGTTTTTAAAAAAATCTCAGTAGTAGCACGGAGTCTGGAATCGTGTCCGGTATATGGCAATAGGCTCACCCCTATTACATGGGACTCATAACATAAATAGTGAAAAGTGGGAGTTATATTGTACTGTGGTATAATATGCACCTCTGCCTATCCCTTTGGGGATAAAAGGCGTGATGTTATGTTATGACTATCGAGTAAACTTGGATTTGATTACCGGGTCTGGCAAGTATAGCAATGGAGAATGCTTTTGAAACATGAATCTCATGACACGTCTGATGAAAAGTAGTAATAATGGTGCATCTTTACCGATTCTTTTGTAGATTAAACAAACTATTGACGGTATGTTACATCTTGTACGTGCTGTCATATGTTAAGGTAAACGATAAAATATATTCTATTTCTATTAAACTGCTTCTTCTATACATATTGTATTATACCACAAAAATACACACATTAGAATATTTAAAATTATAACCAAACACACGCTTAACGCAATCAACAGTCACTTAGGAAATAATTACAATATAATATTGGAAAAATATCTTTATCACCTAATTAGGTCAACGACTTGAATTTCTCAATAAAATGGGAATGTTTTGTAACCGAACCTATTATGAAGGAATTAGGAATTTACTAAACACCGTTTTTCAAACGGGATTCCCTAAATTTGAGCATATTACGTCCACCAGTCGTCAGGTAGGGTCATTAAGACATCGTTTATTAATCATTACTAATTGTTTCTCAAGGTATATAATACGGAAGCGATGTAGTTTTGGCCATTCAGTGAACAGTTGTGATCTTGTGATACACTAGTCAATTTATAAACTATCAATACTAAAAATGAAGTGCTTCGTCCTCGCAGTTTTGGCTTTCTCGGCAGTCGCCACCGCCAAACCTTACCTAGGCGCTGGCCTTGGAGGAATTGGCTTGGGAGGTGTCGGCCTTGGCGGACTCGGTGGAGGTATTGGACTAGGCGGTCTAGGCACTGGCCTCGGCGTCGGTCTGGGCTCCGGTCTAGGCGCAGGTCTTGGCCTGGGAGTGGGTGAAAGCTTCGGGTCTGGCGGTGGTTACGGCCAATCAGGCTACGCTGGTGGAAGCAATGGTTTCGGCAACAGCGGCTACGGTGGCAGTGCAGTGAACATGGGCCATGACATCGGTCACCAGGAGAGCGACTACAGCCAGGCGGTCCACAGCCACCAGTCTTCTGGTCATGATGTTGGAGGTGTAATGCAGGCTGGCCAAGGAGGACACAACCTCTACGGACACAACAACTACGGAGCTGGACAAGCAGGTTACGGGCAGAACTACAACCAAGGAGGATTCTTAGGATATTAATAAAATTTTGTTATTTCACCAGTTTTGTGCTCTTATATACATCAGGCAAATCTTCAGTTTAATTAAATTAATGCAAATTTATTTAATATTTTATTTTCTTTTAAACATCACCCTATATAAGCATATTAATATCTTCATCACTTGTCCTTTTATTTTGCATGTTCACAACATGAGAATACATTTTAATCAAATACGACTCTGTGATTCAAAATAGAAAGTGTTTAACACATTCTAGATAATAAGTTCTTAAAGTCCAGAATTTGTATGTTTGTTACAAAATTTAGTTCAAAACATATAAACACCAATAAAAAGAGGATGACATTAAACTATCTTGCTGGGAAGCAAAATGAAGACACATAAGGAACGTGGTTTGGCGTTTTGCCTAGATAGTATGACACAAGAAGTGCAATCTACCGCGACATTCTTTTACATAAACGTTGACTGGTTGGTGCAAGCCATGAGAGCAGCGGGAACGAGTTTGGTTTTTATTTACGCTTTAGACAAAATGCGAGTTCTACAATGTCCTGAAGATATTTAACAAATTTTTATTGATTAATTACAAATTACTGTTAACTTCAATACTATTTAAAGATTACATCATTATTTAATCTACACCATATACTTTCTTTGACAATAGTTTTCACGGTGACTATGGAAGCTAAGCAAGCAAAATCAATAGAATTTAATGAGTTTAAAACAAGAAAATATAATGTAAAATGATTTAATACATTCTGACCTAGTAATTTAGAGATACTATACTTAGATGAATTACAAAATAAAATTAGAACAAACTTAAAAAAAAATAGAAAGTGCTTGATAAGTTCATAACTTAAACCACACAGAGAGATCACATGGAAGCCATTTGTTCAGGAAAAGCTATGGGGTTGCAGTTTTTATTATGAAGCTTGAGTTTCGCTTGCAACGTTCTAACAGATGCTTTTTTCTTATTTAATACCACGCCTCAGTGCACTCGCAATGTAAGAGATGGGAACCACTTTACAAATATGCACAATTAGTTTCAAGATTTAGAGCTAGTAAGTGTCTCTAAGCTTGGAGAAAGTCCAGCTTCTAGGAGAGGTTAGTGAACCTTTCGTTATGTGACATCATGCATGTTAAACCCTAAAAAGGTAAGGTTTTTTACCCACTACCTAGGAATACTTGCTATTTAACTTAAGCTTCGTATATAATATCATACAGTACAAAAAGTAATACAGTCTTGCAATCACATCTAATGAGCACGTGACCTTGAGTTTAATACCCAATTTCCAAAAAAAGAATATTTGGAAGCTAAGAAATGTAGTTTAAATCTATACAGATAAATAAAATTGGGGTATCTGTTTGTAATATTAAAATAACCGCTTTTTACTACATGCATATGAATACACATACGATACACATACCAAAAAATATTTTTAAAATTTTTGTCTGTCTGTTTGTTTATACTTGGTAATCTCTGTAATGACTGGATCAATTTGGACGGAACTTTTCTTTAGTTAGTTGATGTAGTAAGGAGAAACACAGGCTACTTTTATTTTGGAAAATTGAAAAGCTATATTCTAAAACTCATATTCTACGTGGACAAATGCGGGCAACAGCTAGCTTTACATACATCCAGAAAGTAATAGATTAGACGTAAACTGTCACTAAAGATATGACCTCAAAAGTAGTGCTATCAAAATAGCAAACACCCGATACTAGAGAAGATAACTAAACCGAACTGCCTACTCCAAGTGGTATATTGATTGATGTTCATCAAACAAGCATCACAGCATCACGAGCTCCAAGAGATATGCTTGATGGAGCAGCCGATCAATACAGGTAGGAGCAAGACCTCTGGAGATATTCTCAGATAGCTACTATTGTCTATGTTTATTGGATCGACAAACTACAGTATTACACCGGAGATGGTTTGCTGGTAGACGATCTTGCGATGCATTTTGTTAGTAGAATATTGGATGTTAACTTAAGTTGTGTTGGTTTATTTATTGGTCTAAGTTATGTTGTAGAATTGTTAATAGTTAACTTTTTTTCAATGATAATAACACATAACATAATATCACGCCTGTTATCCCCGAAGCGGTAGACAGAGGTGTACATTATGCCACTGTACAATGTAACACCTACTTTACACTATTTATGTTATGAGTCCCAAGTAATAGGGGGTGCGCCTATTGCCATATACCGGGCACAATTCCAAATTCCGTGCTACTACTGTAATTTTTTGAATGTTGGATCTGCCATTAGTTTAAAAGTAATGTATAAAAGACTACTTCACATAATAAAGTCAATAATCCGACATACATGGCAGAGAGCCGACACAATATTCGCTCTAACGCTTTTTATATATCTCCACAAAGCCTCAAACGATAGAATATCCTGACCTATTTGTTCAGAATTACTGTACATCAAATCAACCACCAATTTGTCAATCCAGTGCACACAAATTCAATCAAGCTACACACATTTTATTTCCACACGATTTCCTTTGTAAGTTGATTTGTGAAATATTCAATCGTGCCGTCTCAAGTGAGGAGGTTATTGTAAAATATTTCAAATAATATCAAGATTATTGGGTACTAGACATCCCACGGGAGCTCGTAGTCGCTGATATTAAACGCTCCTAAATGTACGTATCTCGGAAATTTATAGGCACATATTTGCTGCCATATTCTTGAAAATGTAGATAGAAGAATTTTGCTGGTGATGGATTTGAGTGTTGACAAAGATATGGGTAAAAGATGATGAAAAAAGAGTATTAAGTTTTGTATCGTTATTCCGATAGAGAATGGAATTATCAGCGTCAACTTCAAAAATAAATTGGCAAGACGAAAAAAGTCCCAGGAATTGGGATGATGACAGGGATCTGAGGATTGGGATATGAAAATCACTACATTGTATAAAACAAAGTTGCTATCCGCCGTCTGTCTGTCCCTATGTATGCTTAGATTTTTAAAACTACGCAACGGAGTTTGATGCGGTTATTTTTAATAGATAGAGTGATTCTTAAGGAAGTTTTTTATTGTATAATACATGTATGTTGTACCCGTGCGAAGCCGGAGCGGGTCGCTAGTTAAAAATATAATTAGTCCGTAAGTTAGGTAATGAAAAAATATTAGACACGTATTTTTTTATTTTGTCGTATATTAAAACAATACTTAGATAAAACGAATCAAAGTTTAGGAGTGGGGGCTAAAACGTCATTTCTACGTATAAAATGTATGTACATAGAAGTGACGTCACGTGACATTTCAAATCAATATATCGTCGAAAGTATTCGTTTCTGTAAGAAAATAAAAAATACGTGTCTAATGATTTAAAATAATCTACCAGACAGACATTAAAATAAAAATTAGACATCTATCCTATTTTAACGATATATTGACTACGTTTTTTTATTCAAAATATTTTATAAAGAATCATAATTTTATTGACGCTAATTATCATGTATTTTCAAAAGTCAAAAATCATTTATTTCAATTAGACCAGGAAGACACTTTTGAACGTCAGCAATAGAAATTTAAAAGTGAAGCTATTTGCTCATTCCAAGGTGTAGATTCCTATGGAGAAGAACGAACAAGAAACTCCATAGGTTACTCTTTTCCAATCAGTTTCACAATACTATTTATATTTGTAGTATATAAAGTAGTATATTTTAGTGATTCCATTCATACGGACTACCTAAACAAAATATTATAAGCAACAATTTTGTTATATAAAATGCTTGAAAATCTGAAATTGTTTAGGCACAATATTTCGTTAACAATATTCGTTTTAATTAACTAGAGACTCGAATGTTCGGACAAAAGACAGTCGGATGTACGCTCCTCGGTTAAATGAGAATTTTACTGCCTACGACTACGAGACGACACCGATTTCGTAACTGTTTCATTAAATGCTTATATAATTATATTTAAAATGTCACTTACAGTTATGAAAGACCTGATATTGTCCATTTGAATAATTGTCTTTATTGTTAATTATAGTGCCTATATTAGTGCGGTCTTAATGGTGTTTGGTTCTACAATGGTCGATCAAATTTTGTCTTTCTTGGAAAACATGATGCCATGATTTTATCAAAAACGAGTAATTAATAGTAAGTAGATAGATTAGATTAGTTTAATAGATTATTAAAATTCCTATTCGGATTTCAATTTACTGGGTTTAAAAAAAAATCTCAGTAGTAGCACGGAGTCTGGAATTGTGCCCGGTATATGGCAATAGGCTCACGTGGGACTCATAACATAAATAATGAAAAGTGGGTGTTACTTCTGTGTGCACCTTTGCCTACCCCTTCGGGGATAATAGGCGTGACGTTATGTTATGATGTTATGTTATGAATTTCAATATATTCTACGAAATTAAAAAAAAATAGTAGTTCATTCTCAATAATAAATAAAATTCTACAATAACAAGAAACAGCTGATCCCCGAATAACAATTTCATTTTCATTTCTGCTATCCAGTCGTAGAACATAAACAACTTTCGAGTTAAATAATTCGGGACCTGGTAGCGAGGCGTCAGCGCCATTGACAAAGGTCATTCATATTGTACTTCACGCTTCGCCAGCCACACTAATTCCGATTATCTCTATTTGTGTCTATAGCCCTGCCCTGCGGCTATATATGAAAGGCTATAGAGTCTATAGACTTGTGTAGATTTTGTTGGTGTGATGTAAAAAACTAAGGACTATTTTTTACAATGAGTTATAAATGATGCTATTGATTGTTATCTAGCTATTATTAAAACTAGATACTGAATGATAGTTACCGTTACTGCGCTTATTTTAATAGCAGGCGCTGATGAAGAATTTAATTACAAATTATTAATTTTTCTAGTAGTTATTTGATGAATTGTTGATGTAAGATAATATATTTGTTTTTGTGGTGTTTAATTGAATGAATTTCTTTTGGTAGTTTAAGTTTATGAGTAAGTTTATTATGTAGAACGTAATGTAATTGTATCGTTAGTTCATAATTTTGGCTCATATCTTCAATTTTATT